GGCCTATTCTTGGTGTCTATAGTGACCCCTAAACAGCAGGTCACTTCTTGGTGTCTTTAGTGACCCCTAAACAGCAGGTCTAGTCTTGGTGTCTTTATTGAACCCTAAACAGCAGGTCAATTCTTGGTGTCTTTAGTGACTCCTAAACAGCAGGTCTATTTTTGGTGTCTTTAGTGACCCCTAAACAGCAGGCCTATTCTTGGTGTCTTTAGTGACTCCTAAACAGCAGGCCTATTCTTGATGTCTTTAGTGACCCCTAAACAGCAGGTCTTTTTTTGGTGTATTTAGTGACCCCTAAACAGCAGGCCTATTCTTGGTGTCTTTAGTGACCCCTAAACAGCAGGTCTAGTCTTGATGTCTTTAGTGACCCCTAAACAGCAGGTCTAGTCTTGGTGTCTTTATTGAACCCTAAACAGCAGGTCAATTCTTGGTGTCTTTAGTGACTCCTAAACAGCAGGTCTATTTTTGGTGTCTTTAGTGACCCCTAAACAGCAGGCCTAATCTTTCTCTGTACATGTACGCGTGAACAATTGTAAAGAAACAAACAAAATGTATTCTAGAATTAAATAGGACAGAAAAATCAATCACAAAAGCATTTGGTGTCCAACAAAATACAAAAAAGCATCAAGGTATAGGAGAAAATAGGTCGGTGGAAACGAAATGAAAACTTTCGATATCTAATTCCCATTTCTTGAGAATTGGTTAAAAGAGCCTTATAAATACTATTGATACGATTATTGTACTTCCTGATGTGTTTTAGGCACAAAAGACTTTCTTTGACACGACTTTGCCGATGACCTACTTATTAACTATGTGCTAGTTTTTTTTTATTCTGTCAGTTGTTTTTTTTCAGCGTTGCTGTTGCACAATATATCGAAATTGAAGAAAGGTGTAAAAATAAGCATGTAGTTTTGCCAAAAAAAACCATTTGTACCCCTCCTATCTCCGATTGGTCTCCCTGCCACTTTAATTTCATTTCATATCATGACTGCATAATCCCAAGGTATATTTATGCAAAAAATAAACCTTATTCGTGATAGCTACCAGAAGGCCAAAATTGGCACCCCTCCTTTCTTGTGTCCAGCGATTTGTAGCACACACTAGGCATATATCATGGATATAATATCCATAATGTCATTATATAATGGGGAAATATATATTTTAAAAAAAAATGAGGAAAAAAGGGAAACTGCCTGGAAATGTGATATTTATATAATTGTTTAATAACTGATGCTATCACTGGTTGGATATGTATTAAAACTTGGTAGGATATCTGACGTCTGCATAACATATATGGAATTATATACGTAAAAACATAGCAAACACACTAAAGAAATGATAAGACCTACAAATCAACCTGTACAGTTATAAACATTCCAATGGTAAACGTCGGATGCTCTTGATGGAATATACTAGCTATGCGCCACAATGATGATAGAAATTTCAAAGAATGTTTTCAATGCAAATGCAAAACAAACTATACTAGAAGTATAATTGTTGACCATATAGTAACATTTTACAGGAATACGGGAATCAATGCAAGCGTGGATAGATGAAATACAACAGCAATAGAATTAAGAAATTTTCTTTAAGTCAATTGCTTGCCGTCATATACAAAACGTATCAGATATATTAAAAATAGTATTGTTTGGTGTCTGGTTTTAACTAATATCTCTATCACTAAATACTTTGATAGTGTAAAATGGTCTCCGAGCTGACCTTGATTTCATGTTATATCATGACCTCTTTTTCACCCTATCAAGTCCTTGTCCTTGAACCGCTCCTTAGTGAATCCACTCTGACCATTGGGTAGTTAACCCTCGAGCAGGTGATCGATTTTTTTCTCTAAAATACGGGCAGTCACATTAGAATGATAAGGGAGGTTAAAGTGTTGATATAAACATAGATTTTCTCAATGGTTTTCTGCCAAACGAGTGCAATCGTTCGTTGTCAGATTATCTTTCTGTTTCAACAATATATCTCAAACCACACAGAACACACTCAATACCGTAGCTAACATTGGAGGTGCACTTCATTGGCTCAAAGTTGATGGTTGAATAGTGTTTTAATTGAGGAAGCTGCTGTAAGTCCTCTCAGCAATTTGTATTAGGTTCTTTTAGGCTCGCATTTTAAAATGTTAAAAAACTTAAAGTGTCTGAAACATCACATTAATCGATAAGATTGCAAATGCCAGGTTTCAAAGTACGACAAGTAAGAGTTTTAATGAAAAATCTCCACCACCCGAGCTTTAGACAAAGTCGGTAATCTAAATGTCTTCGATGGCAAACCATGGGGTACTCAGCCTTCCAGATAAGTAAACAAGCGTAATTCGAACTCAAAATCGATGAAACAAGTGCAGTAAAGGGAACAAACTTTAAGCATCTATTTGTAGTATTTCAATATAACTATGTAACTTTTCTTCTGATCGCATCAATAATTCGTGAAGCCGTTTGTAATCTAATTCCATTCATTTGTATACAGAGCTATTCCCTATCGAGGTATACTTTTTCACTTATTACATTACATAGTAATATTTGAAACTCAATGATGGACCATGCCGAGTTGAAATTCTGCCATGCCGAAGGCAAAGGATAGTGTGTGCTTAAATAATAACAAATATGTTACATTGTAAAGGTATTTGACCTGGCTATTTGTATTGGAAATAGGAATTAATCAGTCATGTTGAATGCGAGGTATTGTTTTCCTGTATCATAATGAATTGAAAACACTAGCGTTTTGTAGAGTATGTATTACAATGTATTGGTAACTATAGCGTTGAATAGAGTATGTATTACAATATATTGGTAACCATAGCGTTGAGTAGTGTATATTTTACGATGTATTGGTAAATATAGCGTTGAGTAGAGTATGTATTACAATATATTGGTAACCATAGCGTTGAGTAGAGTATGTATTATAATGTATTGGTAACTAAAGCGATGAGTAGAGTATGTATTACAAGGTATTTGTACTATAGCGTTGAGTAGAGTATGTATTACAATATATTGGTAACAATGGCGTTGAGTAGTGTATATTTTACGATGTATTGGTAACTATAGCGTTGAGGAGAGTATGTATTACAATATATTGGTAACAATGGCGTTGAGTAGAGTATATTTTACGATGTATTGGTAACTTTAGCGTTGAGTAGAGTATGTATTTCAATATATTGGTAACAATGGCGTTGAGTAGTGTATATTTTACGATGTATTGGTAACTTTAGCGTTGAGTAGAGTATGTATTACAAGGTATTGGTAACTATAGCGTTGAGGAGAGTATGTATTACAATATATTGGTAACCATAGCGTTGAGTAGTGTATATTTTACGATGTATTGGTAAATATAGCGTTGAGTAGAGTATGTATTACAATATATTGGTAACCATAGCGTTGAGTAGAGTATGTATTACAATGTATTGGTAACTATAGCGTTGAGTAGAGTATGTATTATAATGTATTGGTAACTAAAGCGATGAGTAGAGTATGTATTACAAGGTATTTGTACTATAGAGTTGAGTAGAGTATGTATTACGATGTATTGGTAACTATAGCGTTGAGTAGAGTATGTATTACAAGGTATTGGTAACTATAGCGTTGAATAGAGTATATGTATTACAATGTATTGGTAAATATAGCATTGAGTAGTGTATGTATTACAATGTATTGGTAAATATAGCGTTGAGTAGTATATGTATTACAATGTATTGGTAACTTAAGCGATGAGTAGTGTATGTATTACAATGTATTGGTAAATATAGCGTTGAGTAGTGTATTTATTACAATGTATTGGTAACTATAGCGTTGAGTAGAGTATGTATTACAATGTACAATGTATTGGTAACTTTAGCGTTGAGTAGAGTATGTATTACAAGGTATTGGCAACTATAGCGTTGAGTAGAGTATGTATTACAATGTATTGGTAACTTTTGCATGTAGTAGTGTAACCTCAGCGTCGTGTACTTTACACTGCAAAGTTGTTTGACCAATGATATATGTGCAATAGTTATGAATGTGAATCATAAATGGAAACAGCAAAACAATAAGGCTATCAAGTAATATCGACGATGTCTCCAAGTAAATCTAAGCAACGCATAGTCACCCAAACACATTCAACTTCATCGTCAATCAACTTTCTCTAGCTCCATCACACACCTAAAACAAAGCATTGTTTAACTCGCCATGTAAGTATTTGCTTTGGTATATTTAAGATAATTGATAAATGTGTACGTTCTGCTTGTTTTCCTTTGATTGGTTACTGATGATAAACCTGTCACCACACACAGATATTGCCCTAGGGCACGTTACACCATCAGAATGATTCAGGAGTTCTCTGACACGAAAACGATCACTGGATACATATACAATGTTGTGCGACTCCTTTCCGCACACATAGATATTTCCTTTTTCATCGCAGTCGATTCCTTTTGCTCCTTTGACGAGTCCAACCTGAAGTAACTCAATGGGATTTGATTCCGACAGTCTGTACACGGCAGTTTTTCCAGCAACAGATGATCCATCGCTTGCAATGATGTGGGAGTATCTTCTGTCAAAGGTCAGATGGTAGCACACTGATGCTGCTTTATGTAATAATGCCTTTTCCTGTCCGTCCTCCGATACTCTTAACATTTTTCCTGACGAAGAACTCACGATGAACTTTTCATCGGTGTATGTGAGACCGTTGCACCCCTCTTCATCCTTAATTTGACCCGTCGACACCAGCGTTAACTTCGCATTTTCCACTCTGAACGAATACACAATGCTCGGGTAGTACTGGACCACCCCGATAGTGATGTTATCTACCATACATATATCATATGGCCGGACATCTTTTTCTCTTCCAGGCAATTCCCGCCATCTGTAAACAGCTTCACACTTCTGTTACCTTTATCGCTCACAACAACGTAACCGCCCGGCAAATAAATGATGCCAAGTATATCGCAGTCCTTTGTAGTATCTGATTCAAGTGCAGTACTGAACGATAACACGAATTCAGCATGCGGGCTAGATAAGATCTTTCTGAGCCTCGATCCGACCAAGACATTGGGGTAGGCTAGCAGGACTTGTGTCAGTCACGTATCGGACTCGAACCGATCTTTGAGATTTCTTAATTTGTGTCACCACATCCTCGGCGAATGTTATTTGAGTACACCTACTCTGATAGCGAACAATTTTCCCGAGGTTATCTGCTCCAGCTACTGATGTTTGTGGTGAATCTAAGGAATCCTTTATTGATGCCCATAATTGTTCACATAATTGCAGTTTCATTTCTATTTGATCTTGTTCTCCTTCTTTAGTCTCAAATAGTTCTTCAGAAAGAGCTGCTAGAAACATGTTCATGCTTTTGCTTACCTCGAAAATCTTTTCTAAAGCAATTTGTTGATCCTTTTCCAAATAACATTTTTGCTTCTGCATATCGTTTATCAGTTGCTTCAAATCTGTCAGTAATGTTTTCTCTCCGTCAACTTCTGGCATTTCTCCTAATGTCTGGCAGTAGTCTTTAATTGACTTTACATTTTTACAATCCTTGTGATTATCTTGTTCACACTTCACGCAACATAGTTGTTTATGGTCAACGCAGAACTTAATCACATTTTCTCCATGTAGTTCACACTTTTTACTTTCTTCCCGTGAGGCAACACTTTCCGTACGCATGTGTTCGTTATGTTTGAATATCTCCTTAACCAGGTTATTCATAGGAAATTGTGAAGCCCATGCTTCCTTTTCAGCGGAAATGTTTCGAGGCTTGGTGATCGCTCTGCAGTTTGGACAACAGAATGATAAAGGCAATGGTTGTGAGAGTATGAACGATTTGAGACAGTTTTCACAAAACGTGTGGAGGCACGGCAATGACCGAGGCTGTTCTAATTGATGTAAGCAGATTGGACAATTCAGTAGTGTGACGTCGATGAGGCCATGACAATCAATACTGGTGCTGTCGCCTGATGATCGTACGTCAGAAGTACCACCTTCTGCCATGATTGCTGAGGCAAACTGGCATCTGAAAACATTAAATTGTTGGTATAGACCCCATTTATTTAAACTGGTTAGGAGGTAGCAAATTGAGGTGTTAGGCTGAGCCCATGTGATATTATAAGACACTTTCATGCACAGGGGTGTAGGATAGGGAAATTCCACCCGAGAGGTTTTCAAATTTGGTAAAACCAGATGCTTTGCCGAGGGTTTTGTAAAATTTGAAAATCCCGAGGGTGGAATTTCCCTATCCTACACCCCTGTGCATGAAAGTGTATTTTCTCTTATTTCAACTACCAGAATAAGTTCAGAAACCATTAAAATGCGTTAGGTTTTTATTTCATCATGTTGCTTTTTCCGTATTACAGTATCGGTGCTTTCCAAATCCATGACGTCATGTAATTGTTGAGCCATTGTGACGTCACGTCACGTGAAATGGGGTGTAAGATAGACATTTCCTACACCCCTTTCTTACCCTGGACAGCTGGCTCTATTTTACACACACGGAAATGAGAGAAAATGTAATACTGAATTAAAAAAGAAAATGTTAGGATGGCATATTTGTTTTATGGTTCCATCTGCTGCCAAAAACATCTTACACTCACTCTTATTTTAACTGAAAAGTCCAGAAGACATTTCTCCCTGAAAACTGCAAAAGAGAGAAAAAATGTATGTTAAAGGCAGGTGCATGTCGTTATGTCACACTGTAACTGTGGACCAAATCTGAAGTGAATCCGCCTAAATGCTTTGGAAGGAGTTTATTTCACAAGACCTGGGACAGACAGACGAACAGACGAACAAAATGATCGCGGCTCTATTTAAGTTTCCTTGCTTCATTTGATGAACTAATGAATATATCGGCCCAAATTACATTTCTCATAACAGTTGTTTATATACCCTCTTTCTAATTCTTACTTTTGTTGCGTGCTAGCAGCAATATAACTGGTACGAAATAATTGAGCTTTATTTTGATTTTTATGTCGTTCCGATTGCATCATTGATACAATGTTGTTGGCAACCAAAGTGAATACATGTAAATATACATTTAAATTGTGGATAAATCTTCAAACGCATTTGTGATATTCACCATCGAAATAATGAATGATTATTCTGTCAAGATAATGAGTTACTTTGTTAACAAAACCTTCTTTTTTTTTGCCCAAGATTAACTAAGTACGGTACACATTTTACGCGGGTAACATTACTTCTTTTAATACGACCCTATTTGCGTATGTAACTTGTATGTGAACTACAGAAAAATTATTTGGTTGCTATTAATCATAGATATTGTGTGAATAAATCTATCATCTGTATACCGATGAGAAAATGTAAGAAATTTCGTGAGAATATCGTGCATGTGTTTCTTATTACAAAATCTTGAATGTGTTTATTATTAAAATGTCGATCATTTAGTTATTATTACAATATCGTGCATGTAAACATAAATTTTTATTCCCTGAAAGTATTTTTTATGATAATGTTATCCATGTATTTCTTAATAAATTGTTCCCCATGAGCATACAATTATAATGTAATCAATTTATTTATCATTACGTGTATCGTGTAAGTGTATTTGTTATTACAATATTGTACATTTGTTATTACAATATTGTACATTTGTTATTACAATATTGTACATTTGTTATTACAATATTGTACATGTGTTATTATAACACAGTGCATGTGTTGATAATTATAATTCCCTAGAGGTATTTAATATAACAATGATGTCCATGTATTAAAGATGTATTTGACCCTGACATTCTTATTGGCACTGAAACATGGTTGAAGCCAGAGGTATCCAACTCGGACATTTTTCCTTGTGATTTGACATATTTAGAAATGACCCAACTGAAAAACGAGGTCAAGAGGTACTGTTGGCCATCTGCAACCACTTAAATGCTACTCAAGCACACATAAGTAATACAGCTGAAATGATAGCTGCGTTATTTAAAGTACACCTACCTAAACAAAAAAGCAGTAGTAACTCTGTCGTACTATAGACCCCCAGTTTATCCTTGATACTATTTCTTAATAAGTAGATCTCTCATGACTTACATAATCACACTCTTTGGATAGGGGGAAACTTCAACTTGTGTGATAAAGAATAGCCTGATGGAAAGATTACCAATAATCAATATCCTATTGCACTACATGAACAGTTTATCTCCCTGTTTTAAGACCTCGCATTGAGTCAAATAGTTGATTTCCTAGGTAGATCAAACAACACATTATATTTGTTTTTGACAAATGTGCTATCAATGCTCAATAAATATAGGCCAATCCCATGTGTCTCAGATCATGATATTGTACTGATTGACCATGCCACATCATGCCCTCCCCGTAAAACCCTAAACGTTATAAATTACTGCGGAACAAGGTAAACTACGATAACCTAAAACAAAAACAACAACATTACTAATGACGATTTACCATTAAATCTAGCCTGGAATATTTTTAAAACCACTATAACTTCTGCCATACGAAAACATGTCAAACTAAAGACCAACAGGTCTAAATTCACAAACCCTTGGACAAATGGAAAAATAAAGTGATTGACAAGGCCAAAACGCCCGGACTGTAATAAGGCAAGGCAAACTAAAACACACCAGGCTAGATATAGGCCAATCAACGCCAATATGGAAAAAAGAAATTAGTAGAGCTTACAGCAAATACATGCAAGACATAATCAGCCCCGAGTTGAAAGAAAAACTTTAAAAGTTTTTGAGTTTCATCAGTAGCATACAATCTGATTGTAACAAAAGTCCTCCTATCAGAAATCCCAAAACCAACGCTCATCCCCTGAACCATCAGTTTCACTCAGGAACAGCTATTTAATCACCTAACCTTGGTCCCTCCCCATACGAAAGTATGCCTGACATTACTGTTGGTGAGGCAGGTGTTTTTAAACTTCTTTCCAATCTACAGATTCACAAGGCTACAGGTCCTGATGATGTACCGGCAACACATCTTAAATGCCTCACAAGGGAAATAACTCCTGCATTAAAAATATATATATATATCACTGGACATGGGCACTGTTCCTCTTGATTGGCGTGAGGCAAATATAATCCCAATCAATATGAAAGGCGATAAACACTCTGCTTAATATCCAAACATGTAAACCCCCCGAACATAACATTCACAGTAGCATCATGTAACACCTAGACGGGAACAAGATTCTAACAAATGTTCAACAAGATTTTCGATCTAAGCACTCTACCGAAACTCTCTTAGCCTACGTATTGTGGTATAAACAGCCAAACATGTCTATGGATATATCAGTGTTGAATTCTAGAACCCAGAAAGTCTTACTAAATGCAACAGAATCAGATAGCTGTCATGTCCTCTTCGCAGGGGACGGTCCTTGACCCTCTCCTATTTTTGGTGTACATTAATGATGTTAAGTTGAACAATTAACCAATCATTTTGCTGGAGATCAGGTGACAGACGAACAGGGGGGGGGGCACGTTGAATAAATACAATATCTACCACAAAAGACGCCTACAAATTCTCCTCCCCCCCCCCCCCAAGAGCCATTATCACCTGGAACTCTTTAACAACGTCACTGGCCCTTAATGAGGATTTACCTTCTTTCAAGTCCTCACTTGAAGGTTACCACTAGTCTCTCTACTAATTTTGCATCCTCGTTATGTACAAAGTTTTAATATAAATTGCAAAAATATGTTCTTTGAAGTGTCACCTCCAAGGGTCGATTGCACTCCAACATTAATATATTTATTTAAAATAACACGGTAAAAAATAATATTATAACATATATTTATTTCACTTCTGTGGATTTATTCATTATTTAATGCCGAAAAAGAGTTCAATTTTGCAATATCGTAAATGTATGTATTATTACTATGTCGTAATATATTTTTATCAAAATGTCGCATTAAGTTTTATTATTACGATTTTTAACATGTAATCGTGGGCCAGAAATACATTATCTGTTTTTCAAATGGACCTGATCTACCAGCATCTGTTCGCCATCTAGTAATGTTGTGCATACACAAATATCTCGACAACATTATGTTAGAAAAACATATTTACTGCCACTACACAGAAAAAGTATAGCGATCATTCTGTAATTGCTGTTATCTTCCCTTCCCCTCCATTAAAAGCAGCAATCGTTTGGTTTAAACTGCCTTATCCAACACCCCATGAGCAACATATATCTTATTCTGATTTGACTGGATGTGGGAATACTCGTCATGTTTTCATTTAATATGAATTGTTGGAATTTCTTTACAGATTGCATATGAATTGCAGATATAAACTGAAATATTGTTTGGATATTTTTGAGAGGATTTCGTAGCAGAAAATCCATAACACAGAAAATCTTAATATTTAAGAACAAGACATCACCTACAATATATCATTATGAACCTCGACAAAACCGAGATAAAGTCAGGTGCTCCCAAGGGAAAACGTTTCCCAGAAATAAAAACAGGATGTAACCTATAGAACGCAGGAAAAAATTGCCAGTGAACAAAATGAAAAAGTTAGGTTTTTACTTTTAAAAGCATAAATACAAATGCTATGAGTATTGAATCTTCTAGAAATACACGAAATCACATTCGCATTACCTTATATTTATAAATCCACAATTATGGTATCTTATAATACTACACACTATACAAATGTATTATAAAGCTTTTCTACAGTGCAGCACTGTACTTACCTACATATATGTCTTTATATCTCAGCCAGTTTAACGGGGTAAGTAACAAGATCTACAGCAAGGTGCATATTTTATCTACTGGGTTGATGCAACATATCAATAAATTCCTCTGTCGTTGAAATACACAATAAGGGAACAGAGCATTTTTATCTTCAGAAATCGAACATACATATATTAGTCTGCGTAAGACCAGAGGCGATCGATAGAGCTTTATTTATATCCATACTGTAATTTGAATGACTATTTTGACAAGAAAACTTCCAATGTTTCTTTCGTGCAGATAGCTATGATAGTTATTATTGTCGTTGAAATATATGAATAAAATGTGGAATAAAATACGAATAATACCACCGTCGAAATCAAGATATGCATTCAATTTCCAATGATGATTTCATTTATGTTCGACTATTTATGACTTTGAAAAAATTTTGATGCACATTTCTGTATTATTTCCGTTTGCCGCTCTTGTGAATCGCCTGCTTGGGGAGGTTTTTCAACATTCAGGTAGACAAAAGCTTAAAGCAGCATGCAGTATAATTTAAAATTGTGAATAACCATCATAGCTATGTACGGTAGTACATTTAGGACATGCCCAATATTATTTTCTACATTAATTATCTCGAGCGCTCCACATATTTTCTCGAGCGCTCTACATAATTCCTCGATCTCTCGACTAAATAATATTGTGCATGTCCCACCCAAATGTACCAACGTAGCTATTTTATTAAAAAAACATATTTTTTTACAATTGACAATTGCCAAATTTCTCTCGGAATTATGTAATGCAATGCTGTCAATTAGCATTTGTTGATAGAACATTATTTTTACTCAAAAGATTTATTAATCAGAAACTCTTTTTTATCAGTATATATTTGTTGTCATTAAAATACGTGATTAAAGACTTGCATGTGTAGATTTATAAGTGTATAATTGGATATCGTAAATACATTGTTAGTAAATGAGCTTACTATACAACAAATTGGAATATTTAATTAATTTATTAATTACAAAGTCAAGAAAGCCCTTATTTTGACCCTATATTATACTTATATATTATAACATTATAAATACGCGTACTCAAATATAACACACAAAACATGCGAACGCAATTTAATTTCCTATCCATAGAATCAACAATAGTAGAACAATATAATAATTCACCTGTATTTTGAAATACAATATTAAAAATGTAGTTTAATAAATGGTCTACGTCTGATACTTATCCTACATAAGTGTTGAACGCTATTTGAACAATTTATGACGTTGGCACTGTATGAAATTTACGCTGTGATAGATGTATGTTTGTATTGATACAACATGGACGCAACAAGACTGTATTGATGTCAATATCAAGAACGCTTTTAGTGCTTTTCTATATATATATGTCAGTCCTTGTACATTTATTGACAAAGTAGACTTAAGTTCACTAAAATAAATTTCACACAAGGATAGATAATTCTGGTTAACTAGTCTTGCCCTGTCCCAAATAAGCTAAAGATAAAATTTCCTTTGCCGAGCCCGTAAGAATCGACTAGCATTTTATCAGGGTGAAATAAAGATTTATCTGAACTGTGAAGCGCTAGTTGGGATTTTTTAGATACATATGTATTATGGTTCAGATATATAAAACAACAAAAGTAGTAAACAGTTATGCATTTAATCCTCATATTTCAAAAAATCGAAAGAATACATCTTACTTTTCATTCTGGCATATTTCTTTTTGTTTATCATGGTTTAAACAAACTTTTCGACCTAGTGGTAAAACAACCAAGGTGGTGTTTTCCATAGTAACGATTTCCGTCAGTCGACAAACGTAAACCGCAATCTCTATCCAGAGTTATCATTCCTTTCACGCGCTTACGGTGTAAGTGAGTACAAAGAACGACAACTCTGGGTAGAGATGGGTCAATCGTCAAACGTTCGTTTGATTTGCAACAGTCGACAAACGTCAAATGTCGACCATTCGTTAATTTCCGTCAAAGTTTGAATTTGATATCAGGACAAATGATCCCATATTACTCTGTATGAAGGAAAAACAAAAAACTTCCCTATTGGAAATTATTAACGTGTTAAGGCTAGTTTTTGGCGTAAAACAACGTCTTTAATTAATAGTAATTAAGTAAATCTAGAGGCTGTACATCTGAAACATACATAAAAGGATCTAAGTTAATCAAAACTACCGAAGGTAACTGTATTTTAGAAATTAGTATAACAACAAGGAATGTGGTCTGTACATGTAAATGTACATTATGATATTAATATGTACTTGGAATCAATCATAACATTTTTACAGAACTGGTTTAGTGATTAGTGGCAATCCACCATTAGCAATATTGGTTAAACCAAATAAACGTAATTAACATTTGCAGGAAATCACATGCATTTTGTGATAATTTTCTTTGCAAAAAGTGTTAAACGAAAATACATTACATGAAAGGCATTGCCATTTCAATTATATTCATATATACATATAAATATATAACAACATCTAAACAATCCTTCGGGTTTATGTTAAATCACGGAGGCAGTTACTGATTGTATTCCTCGAGAGCCAAGTTTGAGTTGCCTTCAGCGTCGTATCGCTTGTTGAGTTTGTCATCCAGAATGAGGACTGATGTATCCAAACCTTTCACTTTTTCCTTCATGAAACGTCTATTCACACCATCGCCCTGAGAATCAAACGATTATATATATTATGCTGTGTCAGTAATCTACAAAAATATAGCCATAGCAATAGAGTTTAGTTAAACATTTATAGAGATGTTTTTGTTGTATATTATATAATACATATGCAGTATATTTTTTGAATCTTAGTGATATCCAATTTCTGAATTTTAATTCAATGTTTTTCTCTGTAAATATATGTTATTGTACAATGAAATTATTTATGCCGGCTGCGAAACAATCCTGAGCTAGTAAATCTGTTAACAACAGATAGTAAGGGGAAGCATAATATATTCAATGTTGAAGTTCATGAATAACTGCAACAGAATTTATATTTGACTGAAATTGTTTCTAATTCATTACTGTTATTTTAAGCTATGCTATTTATTTAGATTTGTTAAGTGATGGTATTTGCCAAGGTTGCATTTCCCCATATTTGGACCTCTCCATCAAGAAGCATTTGGAATACTTTTGCCAATTCGGTCATCTCTGATGAAAGGTAATGTAGCTGGGATTGTAACATTCTGTTATTTGGGCAAGATGTTCCGAATGCATTAAGAAGGTGAGCATAACTGGGTTCCGAGTGACTTAAGCAGACTATCACAATAGTGCGAACGCCTGAACATTTGACCATGATGTTTTTGTACCATTTCGGTATAATAAGATATGATTTGTCCTTGAAGTAGGGTAATTTATAAAAATATCCTCTTTTATCCATCATATTACTCTCATGTTTCACGAGAGCGAAAGAATTATTTTTTAGAAACAATTTGTCATGATTCCAATCAACAATGGCAATATATATATTATATTTACCCGACGTATATCAATGATGTTGAGCAGTACTCCAGACAGGACTGCCATCACGGATAGACCCGTCATCAACAGTAGGGCGTCCTGGTAGGCGTGGATCTGTATCTGATGACCAAGGCTGCCAAAACCAAACACATATGATAGATCAGGTTACATTTCGCTCAAAGAAACAACTTACGCTGGAAACATATTTCTCTGACTCAAGTACAATCACAAACAATAAATAGAAATACAAGGAAATGAAGAAGCTATTTCAAAAAAGTGTATGTAGATGCAGGACGTCATACAAAGTAAACATTGCACAGCACCATTAACTCATTCACCCCTGAAATTTCATAATGAACTATTCCAACCATTGAATTGGAAGAGTTCAAATGTGTCTTTAGGGGTGAATAAATTAAACCATTTAACCCATTTAGGATTCATAAGTGGTACTAAAGGTCAAAATAATGAAAAATATGCCACGGTTTTAAATTGACAAAGACCAGTAGAAAAATAAAAGATACAACATATTCACCACGAGCATGTGAACAGTCGAACTATCCGAATTTTAACTATGGAGTGCTTAAGGGGGCTGGTTTCACAGGAGAGATTGGCCATTATTTACCGAAATTTGTCCCGTATCTTTTGGCTTTTTGAAGCAATGTCAGAGGATTGAAGTATCACGGCTTTAAAGTACACTGTGTAAAAAGTGTGAAGCTAGATAAACGGTAAGCGGTTATCCAATAAGGAAAGCAAAATTTACAACTTTTGTTTGTTTTCAATTTTAGCAAGATTAAGATTTAAATGACAAAACCATTCTCACGGAAGACATCATAAAGTACATAATGAAATGATATTATGTTAAATGCAACGTCATTTCTGTCCTCTGTTCTGTACCTTTCTTTGTTTTCAACGATAGTACCAACAGAGAGGTTGGTCAGTCCTATGGAAAAACGCATCATAAACACTGCCACTCCGGCCCCGGTCCCAAATACGGCAGGAGGCAAAAGGTTGATGGTCACTTGCCACATTATTATCTACCAATCAAAAAGAAGATAACGTCTAAAGTCTTGATTAATTCTTTATTTCTCATCAATCAGATGCTGTTTTTTACTTATGGTGTATATCACAATTATTAACTTATATTAAGTAACACTTATAACAGTCATTTTTAACACATCACAATCACCGTAATGAACCATTAGTTCATATTTCAATAAAACCACAACATAATTGATACACAAATAGTATCTTATTCTTAAACATAATACATTGTTTTTAATAAAAGTTCCAGAAATCATTTTAATAAAATGATATAGTATACTGTTCCCGTTGTGGTATAACTTATGTATTCTTCATAAAAACATGAAACTGCAGTGCTTAACATGGCAGACTTACGACATCAAATGTATAGACGATTCCAATAGACACGGTGAGAACAAGAGGCGGTATGTTGGGACAGTAGGCCATCATGAGGTACACTGGTATACTGAAAGTGGTAGCCGACATGGCCATCAGCCCGTTACAGTCGATTTTTCTCTGTTTAAAATGGATAATTGAATCACACTTTATTAATATGCTCTCACTGCCTAAATCTTACAGAAATATTGTCTCTAACTGTAAAATGCTTAATGGATTTTACTTTCAAGTGTTTATAAAGAATACAAAGGAAATAATCACCCATTTGTGATATTTAATTTGTGAATGTAGAAAGCCTAACAAAGTTAATATTTACTACACCATATGGTCATTTCGCCCATTTCAGACTTATCAGTGGTGCTGGAATAGCACAAAGAAATATTATCACTACACTAATCACTTTTATTTTATTTTAATATAAACACTGTCTACTGGGAAATATTCGCCTAGTCAAATATTCGCCCCTCGTCAGTTAAAATCCATTTTCGCCCAGTCAAATATTCTCCCTTCGGCAGTTAAATCCATTTTCGCCCAGTCAAATATTCTCCCTTCGGCAGTTAAATCCATTTTCGCCCAGTCAAATATTCGCCCTTCGTCAGTTAAATTCATTGTTTTCCCTCAATATTAAATTCGCCTTGCACATTTAATTACCAGATATATTACGTTGCTTACTAATGCTCGCTGTAATGATAAATTATCCGCCATTATGGTAGGCGAGATAACTAATAGAGCTGGAGGCCTTACTCACAAGTAGGAGCGCCACAAATGGCGCGAAAAACACCGGTCCCACGTACGAAGCTCCTGTGACGTAGGAGGCGATCACTTTGGAGTACCCGTATCTCAACTGGATGTATTGACTGTGGGACAACAATAACACTGCACTCAACCCAGGCATTATCTATGCAATCATATTATGTGTCATATAAGGACAAGAGTATACCTAATATAGTGTGATAGCATCTGTTCGAGTCATTTAAATAACAATTTTGATAATAATATAACGAAAAATACGGTTAATCAAAATGTTTAAAATAGCGTATCAATTTACATTTTTCGATTAAAAAGACATTAAGATAATGTCATATTAACTAGTACATACAAATTGTTATTTTCCTAATACGTACGACATGTTGGCGACAAAGGAAAAAAATGTACAGTAGTGAAAGCCGATCATTGCTACATGTATCCAGAACGTCTTCGGTATGTTTGTGATGTCTGATAGCGTCTGTAAACCATTATAAAGACATGTTAGTGCACACCATCAACATCCCCCTGAGGGTTGAAACTGAATGAAACAATTTAGGGGGCTCAACATGTATGTTTAAGAGCAATAGTTGGTAATGATTCACTAATGGCGATCAGCAGGGGTAAGTTTCTTTTGTGAACAATTTGTTAATTGAACATGTATAAATACTGAAGGTCAACATGCTAGTTGATTAGTACACCAACATTGATGAATAATACAGTATAGTACTAAATCGAATGTTAGACACATGCTTCATAAAAAATAACTAATGTATGTACTTAAAGGGCGCACTTATGTGTGTAGTGTTCATTATCTGAAACTGTGCCTTATTATTTTATTGTGAAAATAATACATGCATATCAAGAATGTTATTTTGTTAACTTATTCATAGTTGCCATAACTTCAAACAATATTATCTTCATTAAAAGAAAGTTAATGCAAACTAACCTAATCAAACGCTGATTCACGACTATAAAACAACAAGACAAATACAAAATAACCATCAAAGTAAGAAACAACCAATTAAATAATTTAGCAATTTGAATAAGAAAGTCAATCAAAGCAATCACAATAACATTATAAAGACACATTCATCAATTAGGACTATTGGTGTTAAAGATGAAACGAATGAAAATCCATGTCTTAAAAAAGAGGGTCTCGAAAGAAAACAAGAGGCCCAGGGGGCCTGTATCGCTCACCTGGTTATTTAAGCAATCATGGCACAATATTTACATTTGCTCTGTAATGCCAATTTGTAACCACTTCAGACATGCAGGGTAAGAACTTGCAAGCGTTCCTATGGAGACTTTATAATTCATAAAGAATTAAGGTTGTTACTATTACTAGAACATTAGTTGTGTTGGAGATAAAAAGTATGTGATGGCTGTTCATTTGTCGAATTGTCTATATAAACAATACCAAACTTTACCCCCTCCCCAAAGGCAAACGAGGGACCTGGGGCACATGAAAATCAAAAAGTACATAAACCACTAGAAGGCCTTTACAACTATGAGTAGTATTTGATACTAGCATTTCTGGAACTGCAGAAGAAGATTTTTGAAATTCGCCTCCTTTTCACCCCTAACCCAGTCCCCTAGGGGGTCAGGGTCACAAAAATTATACCAGCAGACCTTCCTCCCCTAACAAGTATTTCTGTTAAATATGAGCAAACTCCGTTCAAAACATTGGAATATATGGCCTATTATGTATATTTCCTATATAAACTATATTTAATTTCACCCCCTCACCGGGCCTGGTAGACATGAAAATCACAATTTTTATAAACCACCCAAACGCTTTTACAGCTATGGGTAGTATTTGATCCTGCCATTTTTGTAACTAGAGAAGATTTTTGAAATTTCCCCAAATTTCTCCCCTTTTTGGCGCCTAACTCAGCGCCCTAGGGGGTCAGACTCATAAACATTATACCAGCAGACCGCGCCTCCCTAACAAATATTTCTGTCAAATATGAGCAAATTCAGTTCAAAACATTGGAAGATATGGCCTATTATGTCTATTTCATATATAAACTATACTAAATGTCAACCCCTCCTCAGGGCCAAACGGGGGCCCTGAGAGACATGAAAATCACAAATTTTATAAACCACCCAAAGGCTTTTACAGCTATGGGTAGTATTTCATCCTGGCATTTTTGTAAATAGAGAAGAAGATTTTTGAATTTTCCCTAAATTCCCCCCTTTTCGGCCCCTAACTCAGCCCCCTAGGGGGGCAGGCTCACACGATTTATACCAGCAGACCCTCCTCTCCTAATAAGTATTTCTCTCAAATATGAACAAATTGTTTTCAAAACAATGGAAGATATGGCCCGTCATGTCTATTTCCTATATAAACTATACTAAATTTAACCCCCTCCTCAGGGGCAAACGGGGCCCCTAGGAGACATGAAAATCACAAATTGTGTGAACCACCCAAACGCCTTTACAGCTATGGGTAGTATTTGATCCTAGCACTTTTATAACTAAAGAAGATTTTTTAAATCCCCCCCTTTTTAGCCCCTAACACAGCCCCATAGGGGGGCAGTCTCACAAAATTTATACCAGCAGACCCTCCTCCCCTAATAAGTATTTCTGTCAAATATGAACAACTTCCGTTCAAAACAATGGAAGATATGGCCTATTATGTTTATTTCCTATATAAACTATACTAAACTTCACTGGTTTTAGCATTTTCTGGAAATGGAGAATAGAGAAGAAGATTTTATATTTTTTTCTAAATTTTCCCCTTTTTGGCCCCTAACTAAACCCCCTAGGGGGCCACACCCTTATTACATAAATCCATTGAGCCCCTGGTCCCAAGAATGCTTCATATCAAATTTAGTTAAAATCCAAACAGTCGTTCAGGAGATAAAGGCTTTTAAAGGGAAAAGTTGACGACGGACGTCGCGGTAGTGCATAAGCTCACCTGCCCGAAGGGCAGATGAGTTAAAAATTCAGTTTAAAAAAAAATGTCCCCCACAAAAAAATCCAGTTTAAAAAAAACAAAGTGTCTCGAATTTAAAAAAACACACAAATGCAGATTAAAACAAAAAAAGAGTGTCCCGAAAACAAAAATGCAGTTTTTGTATGTAAACCGTGCAAGAACCAATTTCAGCCGACCCAACTGAATGTAACTAGTATAAACGTAAATACTTACAACGGGTCGGCTAGCTAACTCTTTCTGGGACTCCGCGTCTAGTCTCTTAGTTCCGTTGTAATCCAGTATGGCCAACACCACTCCGGCAATGATCCCCATTGAACATATAAAGGCACCTGGAGTACAAATACATTTCATGATAAATCAGACAATAAATGTGGGGTTAATGACATTTTTTTTAAAATTTCGGTCTACAATGTATTTTTGAAAATCATTATCTTCTTATATTATCTTCTTGCAATGAAAACAGAGTTAACTTAAGAATTAATTGTTATTAAATACTTATTACAATGAATTTCTGCAAAGTATACGGAAATAATTTTGACTTACCCATCCAGAGAGACCACGAGAATCCAAAAAGAACGGCAATATTTGCTGTTATCATAAAGTTGAGCATTGTGCCTGCCCGTCTAGTAAGTATTACTAGACTCACTGCTATCACGGAATCCTCGGCGAACCAGTGGGCTATCACCCGGTCCTGAACGACTGAACAACACGACAATAGGTTACGATCTACAGAGAAACAACTGTGTTCAGGGTTGACAGGGTAAGATATATATAAAAAAAATAAAAAAAATTGATGAAGCAAACGCGAGTTTATAACAGCATAAATGAAAAGTACAAAAATGGAATCGATGAATTATTTCCTCATTAATAAAGCAGAACTTAGAGTTGATTGGTTAAAATGTTTAGGTTCTGGTTAAATTGTCAAAATTTCGATCTAATTGATTGGAAACATTTGTCAATCGCACAAATATATCAAACCATATTTTTTTTTTAATTTATGCCATTGCACATTTTTATAGAGCATGCAAGACAGAATGTAGATGAGAAGTGTTGGAATGTACTGCACGGATTTGAAAAAATAAATTCATGTAAGATATCGTAATTGATTTTGATTATGGTTATTGGCAATAATGAACTTATTAAAACAGTCCTATATAAACTTTTTGTTACTAATTTTTTTGTATGATTTTATTAATAAACACAAAATCACAGCATCGGTGAAGGGGTTCTCCAATCTTGCCCAGTGCAATTGTAGTGATGCGCCCTTACTTAAATGAAAAATTATAAAATAAAGTACAAAACCATGACGTACTTCGCATGGGTCCATCGCCAAAGCCGAGAAACATGCGTCCTACAATCATCATAGGGAACATTGACGGGGTATATCGTACAATATCAGACCCAGCAATGGCGAATAGAATTGACCCAAATGATGTCAGGATGATGATGACGACGGCCGAAACTAGGAAAGAAAAACACAAATTGATTACAACCTGAATATTTAGTATGAGCACCAGTTACTTCCAACCCAACATATGGCAAAAACTACCTGTAATTGTAGACATGAAACAGATAGAAAAAAGAGCTTCGAATGAGCCTTAACTAATCAGGACACTTTAATACATGTATTTTATTACGTTAAAAAGAACTGGTAAAATATACGCCCGTCACGTGCTACATGTATGAATCGAATTTATAATCTCAAAATACAGTTTTCAAACATACAATAGCGCAAAACGTGCAAAGACTCATTAACATGGTTTATTGTGTCATAAAACGAAGTTGCTAGATACATAAGACACTTAAGTGTAGATGAATCAAGACTTACCGCGGTTTCCTATTATATCGATCACGTAGCCAGACATCAGTGACGTAATGGAAGATCTGTCATAAGGAGAATATCGACATTTTCATGTGATCGAGGCTAATAATCAGTGAAATAACACAATTACATATATTTTTCTACATGTAACACATGAAAGATATTCACTAATTGTAACCATTGGCGGCATACATCTACAGTGAAAGGTAAATAGCGTTGATGGTTGAATGTGTAGTAGGACGAGGGAAAGTGATAAAGATAGTGCCGTCGATGGGGCTCGAACCGGCGATCCTTGGCTCTCCAGCCCAATGCTCTACCGCTAAGCTTAGGGAAAGTTCCCTATAGCTGACGCTTGTAAGGCAACCTAATAAATCCACATTTTGTTTACACTATTCTCCCCTTTTTTCAAACACATACACAGGTTCTTTGACCCCCCGCCAAGGGTTATTCTGCCTTGAACAGGGAGGGTCAACAGCACCAATTTGTAGTAGGACGAGGAAAAGTGATAAAGATAGTGCCGTCGCTGGTTCTCGAACCCACGACCCTTGGCTCGCCAGCCCGATGCTTTACCGCTAAGCTAAAGGGGAATTCTCTACAGCTGACGCTTGTAAGGCAACCTGATCAATCCACATCGTTTACAAATGAAAGGCAGACTACATAAGATAATTTACGGACAAGATGGGTTATTTTACATCCATTGGTAAATTATGCGGTAAAATATTCTCAAACTCTCGTCCATGATGAGATTAGAAGATTTAGTCATCATGTTTATAAGTTTCCAGGTTTTTTTTGTATGTAGAAAAATTGTTCCACTATTAGCTGAAAAACGCAACGAGTAAATTATCCGATAGTTACTCCCAAGTGTTCCCATGCAAAGTGTCAAAATCAATTTAATTACAATGTAACTTAATATTTACAGTTAAAACTATTAAACTATCTGTAAAGGTTGTTTGTACGAATTAATGTTTAACATACAGTGGTGTTGAAATACGTACGTCCAGTAGAGAAAGGAATGAAGGAGGTTGTATCGTGTAGGTCCCAGATCTAGGCACGTGTCACAGCACGCGCCCAATATTGACGTTTCGTTGACATGACACTGTATAGCCTAGATAATTAAAATAAACAATCCAGGACAATGGGGAATGATTAACCATTAAAAAGTTTTAAAACCAATAAAAAATCGCTTTTGATTTATATTTAAGGATTAACTTGAATATATTGTTCATGTTATGGAGATATAACACAAACAACAGAGTGTACTCTAAATAATCAGCTAAGCGGTTTATGATGAGAGTCCACTCCGGTTTTTGTGTTATAGCTCCATAACATGAAAAATATATTCAAGTTAATCCTTATAATTTAATATACTATACACAATTCCTGTGGGAATCCACTTTTATTGATGGACTCTTTTCTCTTAGAAGTTATTGCGCTGCTGTATCAGCCAATCAACGTTACAAACGGCGACGTCATTTTTTACGTTATGGGCTGATAGCATAAATTTGTAAGCCAATGAAAATGCTTCTTACAAGCGAGATTAAATTATATAATGATAAATCATATATGATTAATCAACAATGACATGTCCTCAAAGATACTACATCAATCAAATAAAAGTAACGCATTTATATAAAATATTCTTTTACAAAATAAAATGTTATCAATTTTATGAAGCATACTGACAGTAGGAAACGCCCTGATAGTGGTTAACATACTGAAACAGATAAACTAACAGTGTTATATATACTGCCTGATAGTGGTCATCCTCGATATCCAGGGGTTACGCTCACTTTCGCTCTCTGTACCCCTGGAATAGGTCATAGCAAAATTGAAGGATCGGTGTGCGCCACTTTGTTGATGAGACAAGAAGACTAGTTCGATCCTTTGATGTACATCAAAAGAATCTCGCGGTCACGTAACGGTAAAAATTGACAGGCTTTGAAGCTGGGCGTCTCTCCTTTGTAATCTTCAAATGACAGGTATCAGCCTAGCGATTGGTCAGGTTTTTTTTTCCTGTGACCAATCAAACAGCTATCTTCGTTCCTTCAATTTTGCTATGACATATTACATGGATGTAGAGAGCGAAAGAGAGCGTAACCCCTGGATATCGAGGATGGATAGTGGTAAAAATACTGGTAAACTAACTGATAGTGGTACACTTTCTGACAGTGATAAACATACATGTAGTGACATACATACAGATAGTGGTATTCATGTAGATTACAGTATACTGTGTTTTGAAAGTCAGTCGCTATAACTGTGTCAATCGTTGTTTATACAACAAACAACCCTTCTGTATTCTACAATAAATATCCTGAGTCTTACCTCGCTTCCCTGGAAGTCAACTTGTAAGGAGCTGGGCATGTCTACACAGAAATACACGCCAAATACCAGCACACAGTCACAAAACAGAATGGCGTACCTCCATTTCCCTGTAAAGATTAATAAGTTCGTCAACCCAGTGTTTCATTACATAAAACGGAAAATTCCACAGTGTCAATAAACACTTTTGACGAATTCGCAGTTTAAAAACAACAAGAGAATACGGGAGTGTCAGCAAAATCATAATTTGAACTCAAAATTGATAGAACTAGAACAAAATATGAACAAAGGATTGGTTAACATTGGGACCCTTAAAAAGGGACAAAGAGAATAGGACCATGTGTTCCGGGAGGGTAAGCGAAGGAAATATTGGGAAGAAATTTGGTTGATAGTCTCGAGGTTAAAGAGATTCATTAATTAAAATTGGTATTCCATAGTCCATTGCTTATTTTTTGCCATAAAGCAATATGTTTGTGGTTCTCCTATTTCGTTTAACTGTCATTGTGTTCTGTTATTTTGGCGGGAGGTTGTTTCACATATTACGGTTAGCTGACGTTTAATTTCAGTTTTTTTATCATTTTGATATTATATTATATTGGTGACTAAATTCAACCTAATAAGTGAATAACATAAACTGTGTACAGAAGGTGAAGTATATGTAACATATCATCTCGGGATATCAGATGTTAATATCATAAATTTAAATATTCAGGACACCAAACTGTGCATGCAGATTTTGAATAATGTTTGAGGATTTTAAAATCATTCCCATCAGATAACATATATGTATCAACCGCATTATCATATTATCGTGTATTACCGTGTCACACACGGTGATAGTATCGATAGCTACGCCTACAAACGTTCAGAATGAAGCTTGCAGCTACCACATCTAACTCTTCGTCTCATTGTAACGTAACATATGTATTGGATATGGACCTTGAATCTGTACTTATTGTTTTTATTTAAATTTAAACAAGTTTTGCCGAATGTTTCCTCTACTGTAGCAATGTTATTTCACTGGTTACCACAGTCCACTGCATACAGGGTACACTTCCTTGGTAATTTGATCGTAAATAAATATTTCCATCGCTTGCATTGATAGACAATAAATACCCATTACATGAAGCATAGGGTAGATCGTCTCAAAGCGGTTCACAAATTACTATCCTAGGTTATTGGGCCTTTGCAACCAGCCAATATCTTTCTCAACTCCCTTGGGAGTATACAGCCTGTGCTGCCATTTCGGCCCCTTACAGCTAGCATTCAACAATTCTAGCACTGCCCAACCACGTACTCATTAACAGCCGAGTAGACTGGAACAAGCGGATTAAAGTATCTTGTTTAAAGATACAACACAGTGCCGTGACGTGACTTGAACCCGCAACCCTTCGGTCACGAGCCCGGCGTCCTAACACTAGACTGCTGTTAAATCAGGAAATTAAAAAAGGGCGAAGTAGACTTGTATGTCAGTATGTAAGTTAATAACATATCGTCAGGTAACGGCCTGAAATGGGGACGTCTTTTTTCATGTATATCAACTTACATTCATATGGTTTCATCTTCCCAGTAGTTCAGTCTTACAACATACAATCCACATCTAAAAAGAAAGCAAATAAATAGACATACGTATCTAATGAAGTAAAAAATACACAATACTACCGATATAAAAGTTTTAGATTTATATAGTCACCCATGCAATTTTAGCTTTGGATAAGGTAAACAAGTAATTCAAATTATCTTATCATTTTGTTTGCTAAATGTGTGCTATGATATACATTAAATCAATAAATAAAAAAATGGTTTATTGGTGAAACAGATGATAAACGATGGCCGTATACGTTCACGATAAATAAACCTTGTTTCCTTTAATTTGTGCTACATATATCAATTATATTTAATGAACCAGGGAAGACTTCAGGTTGCCAGTTGCTTAGAGTTTACATAATTTTATTTCTTCATTTTTCTTATGAGCACAACATATCGTCTATAAAGGTTGAAACGACACGTGTTATCGCTAAATTACAAAGCCTTAATATTTGAGTGTGACTTATTTTAGTTAAATACTGTAAACAAAACGTCATATTTATATCCATATGTCATCAAGGGAAAGGACAATGTTTAGGAATTTAAGTCTGACGTCAAATGTTTTTGACATTGCACAACCTATTGTCTGTTGACATGAAAATGTATGTCCTGCGATATTACTTTCATTTGGTCAAACGGACTATCGTCATTAATTTTACATATGTATGTAGCCGGTTCACAATGCTGTCCAATTCGGATATTTACAATCTTAATGTTCTGTTGTTGTTCACTTTAACAAAGAATTTCCTTATATTTTCTATATTGAAATGTCTGTCGTCATTGTAAATGAGATTCCTGAAACAGCCTAACGTTGCCAAAAGCGATGGAATTAAATTTACTTACCTAGCTGTAAAAGCCTCCGAACATCCAAAGTCTAAATGCAGTGTGACACAACTTATTTAAATTCGTATAAATCGTGAGCGCTAATTTTAAATTAACTGTGAAAGATGTGGCAACCTGCAATCTTGCTCCAAAACTATTCATATTAGCATATTCTGATAGAACGATATATACAGCCGTTATATTTACATTCTTTTGCATGAGATATACTTTCCATTCGGAAGGTTGTAACGGTGGTGAGGACCCGGCAGATGGTTAGATATCCAGAAATCTACGATTTTCATAGAGATTCCAGTCATCGTGAAACATATGTCTCTTGATGAGGAAAGTGATTAAAATACCGACGTCTGTTTCTGTAATGATTGACAATAAATTTGATGATGTTGATTTCAACACTTTCAGCTACAGTTATATCCAAAACGAAACTTTGACGTTACTGTTCGTTTGAAAAACTACGATGGAAATCTCTAGTATTTTGCTTCCTTACTGTGACATGTTTACCTTCCAAGAGTTGCACAGTATGACTTATCTTTTATAACTGGTGGCCAAAGGCCACTTGAGTAATCAAACCAGCATGCATTCTGTATAAGAACAATCTTGGTTGGCTTGAGGATAAAAATAAAAATAATTCGAGGATCTTATATACCGCTTTATTACAACCTAGTATCTTTCTTGCATACAGCCGGGTGCTGCCATTTCGGCCCTCACAGCTAGCATTCAACAATAATTCTAGCGCTGCCCAACCACGTACTCATTTACAGTCGAGTAGACTGGAACAAGCGGAGTAAAGTATCTTGCTCAAAGATGCAACACAGTGTCGTGCCGTGACTCGAACCCGCAACCCTTCGGTCACGAGCCCGGCGTCCTACCACTAGACTACCGTGCCTCCCGATGCAGATTGGGATGTGTTTTGTCATTACAAGGACGCGAGGCGAGAAATTTGCCGGGTTCAACCTATATACCTGAAGAATACCTACATGTACTTCAGAAAAATATTTGGTGTACTGTTAAACATGACGAACCAAACTCCATGATCAAGTGTCAAACGTGTATACCCGTGGTGTTATAGCTCGGAAATATGCGTACTTCACCATTTGCTAAACTATCTCACCTTCTTTTCTGATGATTCAAAGATTTATTGGTTTTTGCCTACAAAAGTGCGTATTTAGCTGTGCTTTGTATTACCCAGTGTACCCAAAATGGTTAGGGACTAAAACACTTCCCTGGCGTCCACCAAAAAGCAATGCACCTGCTTACAGGTAATTGGTAATGAAATTCGTTGCAAGCCTACAATGAACTTTTCAGTGCATGTTAGGTCACACAAAAAATCCAAAGGTGGGGTTCTTATTCTATGTATGGCCATAATTAGCATTAGAGTGCAATATAAGGTATCTGCGCAAAAGAGGATCTGAAATGTTGTATTTGTTTTAACAAGTTTAATTCGGAGGGAAGCAAATCCACACTTCTGCAAAAAACGTTCCAGATATCAGTTAATTTTCATACACAAATTGTGGTGTTCTGCGTCATCACGTGCATGCTCATTTCATTACATTATATTACTTGTACACAGGTGATTATCATATAAGGAAGAGAGTCGTTGAATTCTCAATTATGAAGGAGGTCATCTGAAATAATTGATGACCTTTCAGAAGTGTCGTACATCTTATCAAAGAATTATTCAGCGTTCACTCTCATTTTTTGTCTCTTGCATGACCCTGACTGCATAGCTTGGATAGGTTGGTCAAAGAATAATTTCTCAAAAACCATACATACTTGGTCCCATTTCTTTCTTCTTCAGTATATACCAAAACTACACAAAATGCTCTTTTACTATTTTGTGTTCAGATGAAAACTATTTTAATGTTCCGCTCTTTTTTGGCATTTCCTGCCAGTATTTCAAAAACCTTTCATTCTGTAGTACAAGCATTGCATAAATCTATAGTTCCAGTGTTCCTTCGTCCTGACCACTTGAGTAGGGAACAAATACTTTCATATAATACTTTATTCCCAGAAACATTCTTTGGAGACAAAGTAACTGCCTTAATAGATGGTACACATTTTTATATTAAAAAAGTGCTGACCATAAACTTCAGAGTATGTCCTACAGGGCCAGAAGGAACTTAATTATCTTAAATTCATGAGCATAGCTCTCCCTGACGGCTACATTTTGGACACAATAGGGCAATTCCCTGGAAGCCAAAATGATGCAAGCATTACACAAATATTCATAGACAAACACGCATGGTTGGAGCAAGACGACAATGTTGGCACTGACCGTGGTTTTAGAGATGTCCTGCCTATGTAGCATTCGCATCTTAAGACTGGTCAGAGCCGATACCCCGCTTCCCAGAATGAGGTTAGAACGAACTCAGTTTTCGAGGTAAATTCAATGACGCCGGGAACGAGGGGTGCAGTTATTAACAGGTGTCTCTGGTGATGGACATTTAATGAACTATTACTTAGTGAAGAAACACCGAAATTAGTGTCTTTTCTACAAGAAATATCAACCGTTTTAGTATCATGTTTTCCCCCCTCATACATGCAACTTTACAGACTTTTTGTCCCTATACGAACCCCAGCAAAAGGTGTGGTGCTGTCCATTGCATTTGAACTCTTCGTGGCACTTTTAAAAAATATTTTCAAGACACCATCAGACAGAGTGTAAATATATTGTATTTAAATAGATATAAAACAGGGATACAAAAAGTTTCTAAAAGGTGTCTAAAATCAACATTTCAGTAAACACTACATATATCGGATACTAAAGAAAAATAAAAGGGTATTACGCCTAGTCTCAAAACAATGAACCGTTTGTCCTCTTCAAAAGGGAACATAGGCATAAAGGTACATCTATGTGGCAATTTCATTTGTGGCCGTTTTCAGTTGTGGCGCTGTAGAACACATGGTTTCAATTTTTTAGTGAAAGAATGATCTCGTTCTCGTAAATAGTTGGAAACATGATATTGAACATCATACAGGGGTGGATTCCGGAACTCCGAAAGTGGGGTCCAATTCTTTTTGTAGTTATCGGTGTCCACTTGCCCCCCCCCCCCCCCCCCCCCCCCTAACGTCCTACTTAAACGTCCGTAACGGACGAAATGGCCATATGGTGCAGAGAGCATGGGGACAACTTCATGGACACGGGCCCTGGCATCTTTGATAACTGTTTCATTGTAGATATCCGTTACATAGATTTATGAAATTAAAATATAAAGGAATAATATAGATTTTATTATACGGTTTCATTTATATATTCAACTGTGAACAAATATGTGCATTAATTCATGACTACAGTAACATCTTTACTGGTTTTTAACTAAATACGTCCTACCTGATATTGACATTTATGATATCAGTTTCATTGTATTCTTGAGTTATATTATTATAATGTAGACAGGTACCTCCAATAGTGACCAGGCCTAATTGTAACGGGGACCGTTACTTAAATCCTCCCAAACTGGCCCTGTAATCCCAAATGATGTATTATAAAGAATTTGCATTACCATAATACTTTATTTCATCTCCCATATAAAATTGGAACAAGATCAGTAAACGAGAAGAGTCATTGACATCATCTTGGCTAACACCCATAAATCAATTATAACATCATTTTTGAGTATTTTTTTGATATACAAAAGAATCGGCATTCATCTTTGTCGTTCTCGGCCGGCCTCCTCTGTAGATGAAACACCATACTTTATTGGAAAGGATATTAAGCTCGCTTCCAGGAAAAAACGTAGCAATAATATTTCCACAAAGTAATAAAACATCAACAGCGGCATCAGTTTTATTTCACGGGTATATTCGTACAAACAGATAGAAATACTGGGGCAGATGTCTTACATCCTCTAAAATAGCTTAGCCATTGATAACGGTATTTACGAAACATTTTCTAATAGCATAGTTGTTCTAACATACAAGGAGTAAGTTCCTAGCTGCCGCAGTCGATTCCAGTGACTCTATTCCTTTAAATATCCAGGCAATACCATTATGTTGTAACATCTGAAGAATAAGAGGGACTGTTTTACTGACGAGATAGCTTTTTCAGCGATATAGTATAACCCTGGGGCGCGCTCACTAGTTTAGCAACATCGAGCGTAGTCATGATCAGTGGCTGGATGGGTGACTGCCCGCACGTTACATTTGGTGGCAGAGGTGGGATTCTGTTGTACCTTCTAAGTCCAGTTAATTACCAGTGTCTAGGGAAGATGCATTGGTACACATGGAGGTCCAATCAGAGTCCGCAGACCAAGTCTCTGAACGAGATATCTCAGTCTCAAAGGGGGAAATGGTGAAACAGTCGATGGTCCAGAGGAGGAAAAACTCTGTTACTAGCAAGCTAGTTTTTCCAGTCTGGGACTCGGTCATAAGTTCAGCAATGTCGAGCGTGGTCACTTACTTGATGGGTGACCGCCCACATAATTGGTAAATATGCAAAAAAAAATTAAAAAAAAACCCACACAGATATACATAAATAAGAGTTTATTCAGTACGGATGTTAATTGATGTATGCAATATAATAACAAAGTAAACACAAGTAGTCAATAGAGTTGAGTAAATCAAATCAATGCCATTACACTATCACATTATATATCAAACACGACTTTATATTTAATGAAGTTATTTCCATAATATCCATATGAGTTCAGTTGTTCAAACTTGATTTAGCTTAACGAGCCGTTAACACCAATTTTTGAGACCTGTGTTAAAACCTACACACAATTTTGTGTTTGTTGTCATCAGCAAATCATACTGAATCCTTATATTTACAATTTTAGTTTTAATTTTCAATATTTTTGAAAATAACCTACCTTACTAGCTTAAAATGTTGCATTAGATTGTCATTAAGTTAGTCATTTTTTAAACAACTGGACCCAGAAAAAGTTTGAATCTCCATCAAGTGAAGTTTATTAAATATAAAAAATAGCGGATGAAGGGTTCATGACCGTATGAACTCACAGTATCTGAAACAGAACACGTGTAAAGTTGATGTTAAGATAATGCTTATTCTTGAATACAACTTTGAGAATCACAAATCACCTTAAATAACATGTATGGAGGGAAATCAAAAAATGTATTTTCACAAAATATTTTTGTCGATCCTACTTAAGTGACTAATGTAATTTAACCGTTATACTTTTAAAATGCATATTAACCCTACAGTGATATTTTAATGTTAGTGAGCACATTTTTGTGTGTTATTGTAAAAGTCAAACTCCAGAACTATGACACATCTGTCATGGTCTAATACGGTTTTTGAACTTAATTGAGCGTTATGTGACAATCTTAGATGAAAATAATGTTACTATTAATATTCCTCCGTGATTAATTTTTCTTTTTAAGAATACTCAATAAATACTAAAAATTAGGAGATTGTTTCTATACCTACCTGGTCTCAGGTACGACCATCCCATTTGTAAATGAGTTGGTGTGACCGTGAGGATTACTTATTATGTCAGAATGAGGTTATACAATCTTTCATAAGTGAGATATAAAATTGACCTTTCTTTTCAGGATAAAAAAAAGCAAGTTCGCTTCCGATTACTGTCTTTGAGAACTATTTCTATTTCTATACTATGGCCATTTTTTAAGAATTTTACAAACTTAAAGTAAAATAAACAATAATATCACATAATTGCAAAATGTTAAATCGAGTAGACACTCCTTTAAACACTCGGCTAAAGTTACCTTAAGTACTGATTGAAATCGCATATATGATGTCCCCTATATGACTGAAGTCATCTATGACGCTCCTCTAGATCTAGACCACTGAAGTTCCTATTCTGCTCCTCCACAATTAAGTCAACTGACTTACTGATTGCACCGACAGAGTTAAATGTGTTAAAATATCATCTTCGCTTGTTTCTTCTAAACATTCCTACATGTATGTAGCTATCACATCTAGTAGTAAGTGTTGCGGTAGGAATCAAACACCTTCCTGTTAATATATATATATATTTTTTGAGAAACTAGTAAATCACTGTCAGTATATATATCTGTGGTAGAGAAACTAACACCTTGCTGTCAATAGAAAAATATTTATTGTTGAGATATAAACCTTACTGTCAGTGTAAATATTTGCAGTAGAGAAACTAACACCTTGCTGTCAATATATATAGTTATTGTTGAGAAACTAATCTATGATATAAATATTTTAATAAATTCATTTTCTGAACAGGTAAATAGCATTTCTTCCTCTTCAGGGAAAGCAAGATGGACGTTACTTAGATCCACTGTTGACTTTCGCTCTTGAAGATACATAAGCCGAAATTTTGGAACTGAAATAATTATAGTATCGTGTTTGGTTCTATAACCCCTTTAAATCATATACAAAGCATTGTAACCAGGTAAAGTAATCATTTTATCTGGTATATTATATAGTGTACAAGGTATCATGGGGCATCCAAATCCTCACTTACTACCCATAGAAAAATAGAAATACTATAGTCTGAAAACTATTTGAAGTCAACAGCAGGTTTTGAGCTTTGAAAAACAACAACTCACTAACCGACCAAGATATGACAAAAATATGTGTTTGTTACATATTCCATAGGCAATGTTAATACACAGATATGTTGAGTTTCAATGGATATCAAACCAATATATATATATAGGATCTTACATGAGTTTCCATTTCATATGAGATTTATGAGGAAGTCTTATAATTTTTCAATTTAGCGAGCCTCTGGCGAGCTAAAATGAAAAATTTGTGACGAGTTTCATCAATTTCATATGAAATGAAAATGAGTATAAGATCCTTTTATCACATAATCAAGATTTGTGACATTTATTCGTGTAAATCGACAATTTTCATGCAACCTTGAAATGTAAAAAGCGGCCATTTTGACTCCAGCGCGTAAGTCTGTGACGTGGTATACTTGCCCTAGGCGTGACGTCACAATTGAAACAATTGAAACTTACAACCAACCACAGGGCTGATAGGTCATAGTACATGGGTTAATATGCAAACAAATATGACATGGGTATATTCACTGGATAACACAGTACATCATGTGATAAATATACTATATTATAGCTTCTTGTCCTGAATTCAGACTAGGTTGTGGCCTAGTCTTCAAAAACATATTGTTGTTGTGTATTAAAACAACACAACAATGAATAAAATACAAATGAATTTGATAACTTATGAAGTGCATATCACAGCTTTATAAATTTGTTATGTAAAACAATAATACATAATACCAACATGTACCCATGCCAGCTGTTTAAAGATATCAGGCACAAACATTGCAAAATTATTTAACATAATTATTGTAGACACATGGGTCTTTGAATCGTAACTCAAGTACAATATTAAACACGTACAAAAAATACTCCAAATCATACTGAAAAACTATACCCAATTTAATCACATCAAAATATTGGTCTTTTAAACGAGTTGTTAACCTATATATATCAAGGTTTATTTACATATTTAACAAATTCCAAAACATCGTGTCAGAAGACCTGTACCTATAATTAGAACAGAGACTTACGGGGGATAAATGTCAAGATTATGTTTTACCTTCAGCTTATGTGTAAATTTACCCTGTAAATCACTTTTATCTGGATAGAATAATTTTGCATAGAATATCAATATAATTTGATAAGAAATCTTTAAAAACAATCCTATTTTACAATAAAATACTATCACAGATAATACAAAAAAACATTTAAGACCTATGAAAGAAAATCTATTTAATGGATGGTTATGAATAAAATGATAAAATTATAATTACAAGTTTATCACAAAGTTTCTGTAAATGAAATAATAATAAAATGAAGTACACAAGGATATGAAAATAAAACAGATAAATGATAGAATTTCAGAACTAAAAAAAAATACAAATTAGAAATTCATATAAATACAAATTATACATAACAGATCTAGAAGTTCATATACCGGTTATTACAAAATATACATATCAGAAGTTCATATAAATAAAACATTCATATAAATAGAAAATATACAAATCAGAAATTCATACTAAAATAGAAAAAATATAAATCAGAAGTTCATATAAATACTAGATCTACACAGAAGTTTAAATGCATGACTACAAAATATTAAATAATGAAATAATATATCACTTAGAATCTAAAATTCTATACATTTATCAAAAAGGCACACAGATTTCCACTTGAGCAAATGTTTTTGATTACAACTGTAGACAATTATTTTAGTACAGTTAGATTAATATTGACAAGTCACTGCATTGAAATTTTCAGCAAATATGCCGAAACATTTGCAAGCCTTGAAGGGATATTGCAGTTCGTTTTGAGTAGTCCATTGCGTGTTCCAACATAGCAACTATATTTTGGCATACACCCTATTCATATAAATGATACAACCTCATAAAGGACTACTGTATAATGACATTCTTTTATTTTCAGACCTACATGTAAATACAATGGCCTTTTTGTATTCTTAATCAAAATTAATTATCAATTATATAATCTTTGAAAACCAATTCAAAGTTTGAGAAAGTCAAAAGGTCTTGGCATTGAACAGATCTCCACTGTAATGCAAACACATTTTTCATGAATCTTTTTCTTCCTTTCCCCCCTCATCATGGACATCAACATTGTCGTCATTGTCATCATCATCATCATCATCATCAGATTTCTCATCTTCATCATCATCTGGATCAAGAGTATCCTCTTTTTCGTCTTCTTCATCATCCTCTAAGGCCAGTGTCAGATCAGATTCTACACAATTAAGACATAAATATAAATAAGTACCTGTCTAATCTGAACACTCTCCCTTCTGGAGCAGACAGGTTTAACAAATATTCAAAATATTTAAGTCCCCCAAACGTAAAAGTTTTTGACACACTTCTTAGAAACTATTGAATGGAAATTAATGAAACTTCACACAAGTGTTCATCATGGTAAGGATGTGTGCAAATGACCTTTCACTTCCGATCGGTCAACAAAGATGGCTACCACAGCCTATGATTGGTCGAAATGAAAGATTGGTCGATTTTGCTCAAATTTCATATGTAGGTGTATTTTGGCACTGCAAACATAAATGCGGGGGTTTTGCGACTTCTGTAATGGTCCCCCATTACATTACAATTAGTTTGTTTTAACTTAATACGCTAAGGTCAAAAGGCTCTCATACTAACAGATTCAATAGATCGACTTTCAAGCTTTACAATCAACCTTTAGAACATAATCACAAATTCAATTCCTTTTACATCTTTACACCTGAGGCTAAAGGAATCTGACAATAGATTCGGATGTATTGTGTTCAGTTAACTTTAAGTCAACTGATGTGAAAAATCAATTTTTTTTTCTAATGAAGGAGCTTATAATATATATATAGTGTTGAACCAATAGTAACCATAATACCTTCAACAAAAGCTATTAGTGCATACATAGGCTCTTGTGGACAATATATAGACACAGTTAACACAACTATATACCTTCTGGTTTGAATGCGACAGGTTTGGACGCCAGGTCCGAGGCGGGTTTGGTGTTAACTAGTGTCCAGTGTACAACATCTGCCGTCGGATTTCTTGTTGTGCTGACAAAGCTCAGTCCGTCCCCACAAATGATAGTGTCAGCAAGCTGTCAGAAAACAGAACACGGCTACAAAATTGTACAATACTATCCCCATCTCCGAAATATAAAAAACAAGAGGCCCATGGGCCTTAACGGTCACCTGATATATTTATACAGAGAGTTGATTTTGTTTTTAACATGAAAAGAAATATTATTCAAAGTGACAAAAAACAATAAAACCACCTTACTTAATATCTAGCATACAGATTTCAGACTAAAAAGGATTTGAAACTAGCACCTACAGACCTTGGGGGTACGGCTGGCTCAAAATTTTCAAAGTATCAAACTGTCAATTCAAGGTTATAATTCCAATCAAGTTATTAACATGTAATATTCAAAGTATCATTTGTCATTATAAACCATAATAAATTTTGCCCCCCCCCC